GTGTGTGTGTGTGTGTGTGTGTGTGTGCGTGTGTGTTCAATCCATTTTATTTATTCAGACTGGGTCACTCATGGAACTGTAAGTGCTGCCAGTTGGCCTTGTCTCTGCCTTCCCAGTGCTAGAAATACAGTCCCTCTTCTGAGCCTGGTTTTATGTGACTTCTGCAAATCTGAACTCATGCTTTGGCAACAAGTGTTCAATTAACTGAGCCATCATTCCAGTGGCTGCCATGGATCCTCTTGAACAGCCCCTGCAACTTGCCGTTAATGCTTGATGCCTTCTGGAACAAACTTCATATTTCTGATTCCAGACTTCCGTCTACCTTCAGAATCACCCCATACATTCAGCCTGGTTACTCCCTGGAGACCTGGTGCCACCCTCATAGCCGCAGTATTGCACAGGCCTTACAGCAAGCCAGCTAGCTCAACAGTGTCATTTATACGGAGTCTCTCATTTAAACCCCCTTGCAACTCTACAAGGTAAATGCTGTTACTCAGGTCATATGGCCATTGAGACATCGTGCAGCAAATAAATGGTAAAGGCAGGACTCAAACCAGGCAGTTTCTCAATCGCTGTTCTCCAGCTCCTCCTAACTCCCACCCAGATAGAAAATGGGGCATTTGAGTGGGGTCTGGCATGGACAGAGCCTCCTACACAGAAGGACTCCGCCTGACCCTGATTTTTTTTCTGAATTCTTCCAGTGATAAGGGACTTTATTAATTTCCATTGGGCTCAAATTAGCTTTTGATTATTTTATCCACACCAAATGCCAGAAAAAGCCCAGATTGTACTCATTATGGGCTATCATATCTCCCTTCAGTTGTTTACAAGAAGGGTTCTGCTTGGCCTTGACTACTTTTAGGTGAAGTCATCTCAGGAAAAGTGAAGGGCCATAAAAGACAGCTTTGTAAAGTTACAAGCATTGTAAGCATTCATTGCACAGCCACAAAATCTTCATTTTCCTAATTTCTGTTAGCTGGGAATATGGCACTGATAGAAAGCACTTCCTTAGAAATACAACTGCTTGCGAACAAAAGCCAAGCACTTCTACTCATATTTTCATTGCAAACAAACTAGATTTAGAGGGACATGTGGCTATGGATACAACCCAGAACCATTTATTTTACACAGACTTAGAAAGTGCTCTGTGTGTGAATGTCATATCCAAAACATATTTTTTCAATACATAGCTTATGTGAATTAAAGGAGTAGAAAAGATTAAAGTGTAGATTCCATTACAAGCTTCATGCTGGCTCTGTGTGCATGACTGGTGTGTGTGTATGTGTGTGTGTGTGTTCAGGTACATGTGTATGCATGTGTTTGTATGTGTAGAGGTATAGAGTCCAGAGTTTAATATTGGGTATCTTTTTCAATTATCACTTTTCACCTTTTTCTTTTCTTTTTTTGGTTTTTCGAGACAGGGTTTCTCTGTGGTTTTGAAGCCTGTCCTGGAACTAGCTCTTGTAGACCAGGCTAATCTTGCACTCACAGAGATCCATCCACCTGCCTCTCAAATGCTGGGATTAAAAGTGTGTGCCATCAATGCCTGGCTCACCTTAATTCTTAAGGCAGGGCTTCCCCTGACTCTGGAGCTCATGGACTCAGCTAAAGAAGCTGTCTAGGAAGCTTCAGAGAGCTTTCTGTCTCAGTCTGCCCAGACCTGGGATTACAGGGGTATGCTTCTGTGTCTGGGTTTTTCACATGGGAGCTGGAGATACATACTTAGGTCTTCACACTTGGATGGAAGTACTTTACAGATAGGGTCATGTTCCCAGCCTTTTTATGGTGGCTTTTAAATGGTGGGTTTCCAGGCAGTCTAAATAGTGACACCGCAGAGCCAATAAAGGTCTTTCTGAGGAGAAAACCAAACGTGATGCGAGCTGGATGTAAGTTTGTAGCTGACAGAGTGGCAGGGAGAAACACTGTTAGGGAAGAGGGAACATCTCATCTCATGAAAAGAAGAAACGAAGTGAAAGTCTGTTCACGGTGAGAAGATGACAGACTTACTAGGTCCCCGGGTTTGGCTTTGAGTTCTGAGCAACAGAAACAGGAAGTAAGTGGTTGTGTACTGCATCTGGCTTCTTAGGAAACCTGTCAACAGGGCACAGGCAAAGCCCGGTCTCCTCCCACCTCAAGTTCTTCCTCAGGGAATCTTGAAACAATGAGATTTCCTTAAAAGAAATGAGAATTCCCATCACCCAATAGAAAAAAACAAAACAAAACATAAAAAGAGACCATCACCCAAATAGAAGGTTGTGGGTGGCAGGGATCTGTCTCTTCTCTTTTGTAAGAACCTGGAGCTCAAAAGCTGCTTGGGGAAGATTGGCCGAACAAACCCTGCTGGGCCCAATTATTGAGAGCAGCCAGAGGAATAATTAGGAGTCTTTTCTACTCTTCATATGAACAGTGATGACAGAAAAGAAGGACGGGGGGGGGGGGGGTAAGGAGAAGTAGGAAGGGGAGGAGGGGAGGAGGGGAATGAGAAGATAGGGATGACATCTCACCTGTTATGACAGCTGAGTTATTTTTGTTCCTATCTATTTTGTATTTGTGACTTCTTGTAAGAAAGACATCAGATGGCTGTGATGAAAGTCATGTGCTTCATGTGGTGTGTGTGTGTGTGTGTGTGTGTGTGTGTGTGTGTGTGTGTGTGTGTGAGAGAGAGAGAGAGAGAGAGAGAGAGAGAGAGAGAGAGAGAGAGAGAGAGACTGTCCTGATTGACATAGCTCTATCATGTCATACAGCAGAGTCTGTGTTGGAGGTTGACTTTAATTCCTTCTTCAGCTCAGCTGAAGTGTCTTTCCGACTTCTCCTGAGTCAGCAGTAAGTATTTAGAATTAGAAGGAGCAGGGTTAGCTCAGAAACAAAACAGCCCATCCCCACCTAATAACACAGCTTAGTAATAACAAGAGCAAGACTATCTGGGAAGGCCACTCCCCTTCAGAAATTTCAGAACGTCTAAATTGGGAGTTGGTAATCTTGTAAACAAATTCAAATTACATTCCAGAAAACAAAACAAAACAAAACAAAAACAAACAAACAAAAAAACCCCAAATTACTTGTTTGAGATGGTTTTTGGTTAGAAGACGTGAATCCAGATCAAAATCAAAAGCCACATAAATACTAAAATAGCCAAAACAGGAGACACAGTCATTACAGGAAACTCAGGAAGCTTCAAAGGAGGTTTTGAAAAGGAAAAGCAACAGCCAGAGTTGCTGTGGGCATTGCCCGTCCGTACTGGAAGTGTCGACATCCTCTGCAGAGGAAGAGGAAGGAGTTAGAGGTACCAGACAAGCAGCTGGACAATGACAAAACAGGAAACAGGATTGCTGATGACAGCGCACCGCAAACCAGGAAGAGCCAAACATCAAAGCCATGGGGCCGCTGAAGACTCGGGCAGGGACAACGTGAAAGCCGCGAGGTTCATCATCAACCGTGAGCCACAAGCACATGGGCTAGTGGGTAGCCATGTCTCCGTTTTCCTGTTGAAACGATCCAGAAAGGGACTGAGTCCCCGTTGTGATCATTCCAGGAATAGACCCATTGTATTAGATCAGACATTGCTTTAAAGGACCATTCAAATGTGAGCTAACACTGTTAGCGTGGGTTAATAAATCCTGAGATGGAGGCACACTGAGTGGAGGGGGGCAGTACAGAGTAGAGCCCTTCATCACAGGTATAAACAGACGACCCCCCCAGTTTTACTAAACATCTCAGAAAGTCAGTAACAAAATCTTTGACCAGATGAAGGGTGACCACTAAGCTATTATTTAAGAGCATAGCAGTATTGGGGGGCAGACTACCTTCCCATTAATCAAACACAACTATTACTGCTGTTATTAACAACTAGATATAGTTAAGTGTTGTCTTGGTTTGCTTTCTTCTATCACTGTGGTAAATGTCATGGCCACAAGCAACTTGGGGAAGAAAGAGTTTATTTAACTTACTCCCCCATGTCACAGTCTATCATTGAGAGACATAAGGACAGGAATCTGGAGGCAGGAATTGAAGCAGAGACCATGTAGGTCATCACTTACTGGCTTGTTCTACACGGCTCCTCAGGTTGCTTTCTTATACAACTCAGAACCACCTGCCCAGGGGTGGCACTGCCCACTGTGTCCCAGGGCCTCACCCCAGGGCCTCGAACATCAATCATTATTTAAAAAAGGGCCCCACAGCCCTCCAGGTGAATCTGATGCAGCCATTTTCATCATCGAGTTTCCATCCTTCCGGATGACTCTAGATTATGTCCAGTTGAACAAAAAAACAAAACAAAACAAAAACTCTGCGCGAGTGATTGATTCAAGGTCACATTACACACTTCCAATTTCTCTAAATCTTATTTTACCCTGAACCAATTTGGATTCTCCTCAGCTCTGTGTAACTTCATTGCTTAGTCCTGTCCCTCGGGAACAGAGTGGACGCGGTGGGAAGATTCAGAATTCCAAATGCGTAGAAAGGCTGAAAAATACTCATGGGTAAGACCTACTTAAAGTGCCAAGGAGTTCACTCAGTGCTCATTGCCATGTAAGAGACAAATTGGAACTCACAGTGTGTGGCCACTGTGGAAGGATATTCTTAGCTTTTGAAGAAAATCCAGAAATGTCTTAACATTTTTATGCTATTGTTCATGTCAAAAATGCCTTCTGGAACAAGCCCATTGAGGACTGATCAGCTGACAGCTTAGTTGCAAGTGGAAACAAGATGTCTAGATGGCTGTAATTTAATTTGATTTAAACTAAGAGGGTTCAGGTATATTTACAATAAGATATTTGTAACATCATCTTACATTTTAGAGGATAAAGTGATATAAATACTTAAAATATTAAACAAAAATATAACTTTTTACTAAATCAGATACTATATAATGACTCTTTTTTTAAATTTTTGTTCAGTGCTTAGGATTGAACCCAAGGCCTAGTGCATGCTGAGCAAATACCCTACCACTGGGCCACACCCCAGCTTATGAGTCAATTTAAACAATACACATTCCCTTTGAGGGAGAGTGCTTTGTTCCTGGAGGTACTGTAATTATCAGGTTGATTCACGGAGCAGACAAAGCAAATTCCTATTCCACCTCCTATTTCCAAGGAATCTGTTTAATATATTGTCCTTGGATAGAGGACATATCAGATATTAAACTGGTAAGAACAGATAACATTTTTTTTCTCTCTTAGGCATATCACAGAAAAGTGATCCCCAACTCACAAGCTTCTTTTTTGTTTATTTGCTTGTTTTCTAAGATAGGGTCTTTCTGTGTAGCCCCGCCTGTCCCAGAACTCACTCTGTAGACCAGGCTGGCCTAGAACTTACAGAGATCCATTTCTGCCTCTGCATCCCAAGTGCTGGAATTAAAGGTGTGAGCCACCACACCTGGCTTCACAAGACTCAAAAATCTAAGGAATGGCTAAAAATCTTCAAAAGAAGAATCAAATCGTTTTACCTGACGATATTCTGTTTATGCTTCTTTATTTTCCTGAACATTTTGGATGGAACGGACTCCTAGCTGCAGTCACATCCATGCTCTTCCTCATCTTTGACAGAAATCTAGTTTTTAGCTGGGCACAGTGTCAAGCTGTGGTGAGATAATGGGTGGGGTGTGACCCTGGCTCCAGAGGACGTCCCAGGAGTGGCTCATGTTGGATTGTCTTTCTCCAGGCGCTTTCTATCTGAGAAAGCAAACAAATCTGAAATGCAGACTTATTGCTTCTGACTGCAAGGACTTAGAGTTTATATTTTCTTTTAAGGTGTGGCATAACTCAGTCCCAGTTCTTCCACAAGGAATAATAACACTTCCCACCCCAGGACTATAAGGGGTTTCAGAGTCCTAACACCTAAAACTATCAGAAATCAGGAGCTCAGCTTGAAGCAACAGACTTAGTTATTATCTTAGATTCTCTCAAAAACTCCAATGATGTTTATTTAATCTTCTATTTTTAGCTTTAGGACTCTTGATTTTGCTAAAACAGACAAGAGTGGAAAAAAAATGACCCAATATTTCTTTAGTTCCTAGATGTTCTCTTCCTCCCCCTTCTCACTCCTTCTCTCTCTCTCTCTCTCCCTCTCTCTCTCCACACACACACACACACACACACACACACACACACACACCCCTCCCCTAAGTAATATCCAACAATGATATATTTTTTCTTGGTTAGAATATCTATTTTTCCACATATTCATATTCTATTTTGAGTAAGGGTAAGTATTTCCATTTCCTCCAAGCAGAAACTTGGATTTCCATCCTTGTAACATCATTTTGAGGTATATGGGACTATTATTATCATCCCTAATTTGCATAAGTGAGAATCATGGGATGCCCACATCATCTGGCCCAATGCCTTGAATACAAGTTGGCTTTCAATACTGAATTGTGGGCTGGGTGGCTGTGTGACAAGGCCAGTGAGTGAACAAGGAGCGTGGAAGTTAAAGGAGGTATTAGAGTCACAACATTGGAATTAAAATTAGGGTTTGCTCACTCCTATTTCAATTCTTTTTCCATTACTCCACCTTGCCTCTCCCTAGAAATTCATTCTCCAATTTGTTGAGTTGTCTGTTGTGGGTGTGGTGTTGGTGAAAGGCAGTTTTCAGAGCATGGGCCCCCGTGAACTCGAGCTGCTGTCCTAGCACAGCACTGCATGCATTACAGAAAGAGTTGCTTTCGCTGGTGGCTCTCCCAACACTCACATGCTAGTGCTGTGCCAACAGCCATTGTCTTTGACAAGTGACTCTGCTGGCAGCATAGGATCCCCCCAGTCTTTCACACAGCCAGCCAGCATGCAGCTCTGTCCCTTGCTTTGCTTTACATCCTAGCCGGGCTAGAGTGTTTGTTTCACTCAGGAAAAGGTTTCAGGAGGCCTTGTGCCGTGGTCCCTGCTGTGGTTTTACAACAGTTTGAATGTTTGAACCAGGAAACTTAAGAATGATGTGAACACTGACTTTAAGAACATTTTCTTTCTTCGGAAAGAGCTGGGAAAAGCCTGGAAGCGCCACCCTGCACCGCTCTATAGGATGTCTCCACTGAACAGCTGTCATCATTGTCTGCTGAGACAAATATTAAAGTTTATCTGAGTTGGTAGCATATGAAGCAGTCCACAATAAGGTCCTATTGTGAGCAGTAAACTACTGGACAAGATTCTAACTAGGTGAATGACTTCAGAGAAAATAGTTATCGTCTTTGAACCTCAACTTTTAATAGTATACAGTAACAGTACAGGATAGTGGTTTCATTTTTACATTTTCACCGATATATGTGCTGTGTGTTTTATCAGTTATGTTACTCCCACTAACCACATTTACCTTCCCATTTACTGTTCCCTGTTTGTCCTCCTAATAGAGTCTCTCTTTTTCCTTTCCTTTTCTTCTCTAATGATACATATCAGAAAACACGAGACTTGTTCTGATTCTGACTTACATCAGTTAGCATGATGATTCTCAGTTTTATAGTTCTATCTACTTTCCTGAAAACGAGTGGAGTGTGTGTGTGTGTGTGTGTGTGTGTGTGTGTGTGAGTGATGTTTTCTTTATTCATCCACCCATTGGTGAGCAATTAGACTGATTCCATAACTTGTCATTAACAGAAGACTTTGGGGGAGATGGAAGGGGAGGGAGTGGGGAAGAAGAGATCCTGTCCAAGTCTAGCTTAGGGAACCAACCAATGAATGGGCAATGCACTGGACAGTTGGTTTTCAAGTGAAGAGGTACAATAGCCAATACATGCATGAGAAAATGTGTAGAATCCTTAGTCAGTGCAGAAATGCAAATCAAAACTACCTTGAGATCCTGTCTCATCCCAGTCAGTGGTGACAATCCAAAAAGTAAAAGCCATGAATAATAATGAGAGTTGGGGAGAAAGGAACCCCTTACATAGTGTTGGTGGGAAGGCAAGTAAGTGCAACCACCTTGAACTTGTTTTGGAGATTCTAGAAAACACCCAACCCCAGAATTTCCTTAAGATTCAGCTATCCTGCTTCTGGGTCTATACACTGCTATGCAGCTATTGCCCTCAGGATTGAAACACAAGGCTACTTCTAAGACACAGGCAGCTCATGAAAACTTAGAAAGCAAAGAACTTTTGAAAGTTACAAGACTACAGACACATGGGTGATCCAAGGGCAGCTAGTCATCTCTTTGAAAAGCCTAGCCTAACATGGAGGAGGAAGCTTGAAAATTGTTCCTTTAGTTCCCTGTCCAATTTGCAGGCAGCTCCATTAAAGAGTCTCTTCTTCCACAGCCATTGGTTTCTGCATATGTAACTTTGGGGAGGGCCATGGAAACCTTGTAATTTCTGCATAGTATAAATACAGCATTCCTTCTTTGCTCAAGTTTCCTGTAGGTAACCAGGTCCTTTGTCCATCTAGATGAGGATAGTATTATTTTTTCCCTGTTAAAAATGGCATTGTGATTTTGATGGGGGTTGCGTTGAATCTGTAGATCTGTTTACTAATATAGCTATTTCTCAATATTAGTTCTGCCAATCCCAGGGTGTAGAAGAATTTCTATCTCCTAATGTCTTTTTCAACTCATTTCTTCAGTGTTCATTATAGAGGTCTTTCAGCTCTTTGGTTAGGTTTATTCCTAAGTATTTAGAGGAGGGGAAGCAATTTCAAATGGGTTATTTTTCTAGTTTCTTCGCTCTCTTCTCTCTATTTTTTAAAATAGGATCTCATGTACAATAGGGTAGTCTTGAACTTCTGAACTTGGTGTATAGCTAAACTCTTGATTTTCCTTCCTGCCTTCACCTGTCAATCCCCATGCTCAGGCTCTAGGCATGTCACCACACTTGGCTTCCTTCCAATCTTCCTCTCTCTCTCTCTTCCTTCCTTCCTTCCTTCCTTCCTTCCTTCCTTCCTTCCTTCCTTCCTTTTCCTTCCCTGTAAGGAGTAAGGTTTTTCCACCTGCCACCTGGTCTTGTCCTGCCGCTGCGCCTGCCCCAAATAATACACAGAGACTCTGTATTTGATATAAATGCTGTTGGCCAGTTACTTGCTTCTTATCGGCTAGCTCTGTCTTAAGTATTAACCCATTTCTATGTATTTCCACGTGGTTTCACCTACCGGGGAGTGGGGCAGGCGTCTGGTCTCCCCAGTCTCTCCATGCTGACTCTTCCTTACTCCTTCCTCTTTGTCTCCTAGTCCCTCCTATCTTCCTTTCCTATTGGCCAACAGTGCTTTACTCATTAACCAGTATGAGAAACATATTTACAGAATGACATCTCCCTTCATCTCCTCTTTTCTGTCTAAATAAAAAGAAGGGTTTTAACCTTAACATAGCAAAATATATCACACAACAGTTATCAAATAAGAATCACAGTTAACAATATTTAGTCCATTAATTTTAGCAAGATTAAAAGAAACTATTCTATCATCTATCCTATATTTGTGAGTCTAAAGTCCTATATGTAACTTATCTTTAAGCTTAACTAAGGAAAACTATAGCCATAACTATCTGTCTTCAACTCCTTCAAAGACCACAGAAGGATAATATATAAACTCTAGAAATGACAGAGACAACTCACTGCCTGTCAGTCACCTGAAGTTCTTTTGTAATCTTCCATCTTCAGCCCATAGGCCACAGTGTGTCTGGCAGACTCTTCAGCAAAGCAGGAAACTTTAAACTGTCTTCTTGTAGCAGTTTGTCAGTCACTTTTCTCTGTGTCCTGCAGACTGTCTGGCAGACTTTTCCATGAAGCAGGAACCCTGTAGCAATGTCCATCTTGTATCAGCAGTCACTTTTCTGTGGGTCCTGCATGTCCAGTTTATATCTCATAAAGTCAAATAATCCAGACAAGAGCAGTCAGTATCTTGTCCAAATGGCTAGTTTTGCCATATTGGAAGCAAACTGCATAATGTGTTTTTTCAATGTCCATCTTTCTTTCTGACACAGGTGGTGTTGCCAGGAGCATGTATGTCTCATGATCAAGAAAAACCCTAAACCATTTTAAATGCCATATTCTGTAGGTCTTTGAAAGGTTTGAAGAATGCCTATCCATCTCAAATACATCTCTGTGTATCTTGAAAACCTAACTAACTTAACTATTAGTTTTGACTATTATAGGTAACTATCTATAATCTGTATTAAATTATACGTTCCATTTCTAACTGAGCTATATAAACACAATACCTAAACGATGAGAAATATACATATCACAAAATTGACCTTAAATTGTATCAATAAATGAAAATCCATTACAAAACA